CAAAAGCGTTTCCTATGGGAGCTGCTAGTAGTGATTAGCGCAAGCATATTCTGTTGATTTTTCCCCTTTTAATTTAATTCATATTGAAGATTATCACAACCTAAAGCTAGAATAGAATCTGATCTATTTATCCACATAGTCTCTGGACCAAGCATAAACTGAGGGCTTCAGAAAAAAGACAAAAGACTGGCAACAGATTTCATTTAACCAACAGGCTCTGAATTTTATGATTTAGGTGACAGCTTTTGGCGGGGGGGGATGGGGGAAAACAAAAAATAGGGCTCTTCTCACAGATTTCTCTCCAAAACAGTTAATTTTCAAGAATGTCTGTGGTATTTGAAATGCTGTGAACATTCAGGTTTAACAAGATTAAGGTGTCCAGGGGTTTTCAGAGTACTGCCATGAGCCTCCTTAAGGGCATAGCATCCTAGATACTTACTGCTTGGTTGGAAAAACAAAGGTCATATCTGTGTGAGCAATAATACTTAAGAGATCCAGGAGCACTGCTGTTAATTGTACTTATGACTACTAAATGGAATAAGAGACTTGTTTTATTCCAGTCTTCAAAGAGTGGGAACTTACTGCGCTATAGAATTTTGCATGAGAAAGGAGAAAAAATAGGTGAAGGAATGCACCTCTGAGATCCAGTTCTTTAGATGCAATTAAGTGAAACAGATCATGAAACATATTGATACCTTGGAGTTTCTTCTGCAGATTGAAGAAAAAAAAAAGAGAGTTAAATGAGTAGCTCCTATTGATACTAGTATCATGTAAACAGTTAGAACTTCCTGGAGAAAAAAAATTTAGTCAATCACAAGTAGCAAAACTAATAAGCAGAACTTTGTTTTGACAAATTATATCCTGCAGAGCTTTGAGACCCGCCTTGATTCTGAATGTATAAGAGGTTTAAATGTATTTTTTAAAGTGCATTAAAATGGCTCCTTTTATCTTTTGTATTCTTTTCTGAAGTACAGTCTTGAATCAGAACTGGACTCAAAGAGAAAACAAATGGGTCTGAATGATTTGAATGAAGGAATAGTTACTTCTTGGGGGGGTTGAAAAATGTATGTTATCACTGAACTCTGGAAAGACATGTCTCTGAGGTCACATAAGGATTGTTAATGACAGTTTCTGTGTATGAAGATGGATAAGAATCCGCTTATGACATCATGCTCTGATGTCTGAGAGCCAGTAAGCTTACTTCATGTTGAACTTTTGTCACTTTGTGTTGCAAACCATGATATTTCCTTTCTGAACTCTCATATCAAATGCTGTGTTTATTTTTTAAAGCACAACTCAATGTCAATATTAATTGAATATTTGTATGCAGTTAACGGTATTTACTGAATATCCCAAGCACATAACGAGGGAAAACTTGTTGTTTAACTCAGTATTGTAAATGGAGTATATCAGCAAACACATTCTCATGCACATGTTTTTAAAATCATTCTTACTAATGTCTGAAATAAAATTTAAAAACAAAACAAAGAATAGATCAGACACTAATGCTGTAATTTAAACCTGCTTGAATTTTTTAATGTCCTTCAGTTTTTCATAGCTTTTAAAGGTATGATTTTATACATATTTTAATCTTGATGAATATATCTGCCAAATAATAACAATAATAAAATTAAATTAAACCTGATTTTTTTAAAAAATAATTAAAGATATGGTGGGGAGTAGTTGTCATTTCTGGCTTTCTTGAAGGTCTAGGACTGTAGTATAAGAAACCCATTTTTTCCTGTCATATCTTCACTTCTTTCATTGTCCGCCTTCCTTTTAACCTTAGTCTTGCCGGCCTGTTTTTGTGAAATGCTCTACTTTTGAGAACTTTCAATTTACTGCATTCTTTCCCTTGTGCAGTCAGCCTTCCATGAGATTGCATGAGGAAAAAGCACTCCATGACAGCTACAGGGCTGATTCTTATGTTCTTATGAACTGCGAATCATTCTTTATTCTGAAAAAGATCCCATTACCTTCAGTAGAAGGTTACTTAACGTACATACTGAGTGAAGCCAGTGGAGTTTTTGTTCCAAGTAAAGTGTATTACAGAATTTATTTGGCTTTATGGCAAATGTTCTTGCCCATCACTGTAGCGATTTCAATGTGTTCTCATCTAGCCAGAAGTCCTTGCTCAAAGCATGCACTATAAAGTGGTGAATAATGCCCATGTCTACTGAAACCTTAACTTCCTATTTCCTATGCAGTACAACTGTAGTAGCAAACTCTCCATATATGTTCAGGTTGGGTTTGACAGAGACATTTAGGAATTCTCAATGAAATTTAGGAGTCTTAAGTCCCATTGAAACACTTCCTAAGTGTCTTTCAGAACCTGATACTCATTTCTTAGGCAGGGAATAATATCCATGCTGCAGCAAACCAAAAATATCCTAAGGCAAATGCATGATTTCTATGAATGCATTTACTAGGTTTAGCTGAATGGGTGAAGGACACACTGGACTGGTATGTTAAGAGAAGGCTGACTGGATAAGCAGAATGCCCTGCTAATTGGTCATAAGAAGTAAATTATTTTCATAGCAAGCCTGACTTAATTACTTTTGTTTTTGTTCTCCCCATACCAGGAAGTTTGTTTCCCTGTCCCAGGAGTCTTTCTTTAGTATCTTTGTCCTAAAAGAATCTGAGAACTTCCAGAAGAGGAACGTGCCCTTTACCATATGAAATTGAGAAATCAACTGACGTGCATGATTGAAATGACCTCTGCCTATGTTAGTCATCAATTGCTTATTAATAGAAAGGCAAAAAAACCTTGTTTTGTTGGTATTTCTGTCTCTTCAGCGTTCTTTTCTCTGTATTACCTGAGCTCTTTATCAAGTATTTTCTCAGATCCCATACTAAACATGGTTCAGGCTTTATGTTTATGAATTTGTGTTCACAGAAGACCAGAACTGACCTTTTGAACTTTATGTTGGTGCTAATATGAATTATGAGGGCTGGGAAAGTGCTCACAGGTAACTCGATGTCTGTGAGTGACTTCGAGCCACCCCAGTACATTGCTTAGTGTTATTTGATGCATGACTGACAAAGTGTGTTTCAAGTACTTTATCTTATCCTTTTAGTATATCAGAGTAAGCAACTGTAGGTGGCAGGCATCTGAGGCTGGGACAGGGAAAGTGGTACATTGCTTGTGCCAGCTGGTGCTTGATTAGGTCTTTCTATAATAGGAAATGACAGTTTCCCAGGATGGATTGTTTTGCCTGTGGCCCCCAAATAAACAGCAAGGCTTCTAAATGTTCATGCTCATGGTTGGAGACATTAACCTAAATCCAAATTGCTATTTGCCTTACGTTTGAGTTTAAAGAAACTCCGATGATGATTTTTTCAAATACCCTTTAACGTTAGCTCTGTGCTATATTAAATATGAGTCCGTATGAGATTATTGCCAGTCTCTCACAGTAGTCCCTCCTGCGTTGTTCCAGAAAGCCAGAAGTAACAAGATAATCCTGGAGAGGATAGCTGTGGTCAGCAGGTGCATTGTTCAGGCTGGCAGCGTTTCCGAGCAATAATTGCACAGTAAAGATTATTGAGCACATGAGATTTACCAGTTGTGTCGCTTGCATCATGGAAGTGTCTGCTGTTGACTGGGTGGAGCGTTTGCCACCTGTTAATTATATTTATATTTTTCCTTGATTTATCTTTACATTGAAATAAAGATTCCAGCATCAGTTTCAGGAAAGTCAAACAAATATGAAGGCACATTAGGTTATTAGTATGTGGGGTTTTAATGAAAGCACAGCAAATCATGCAGAGTAGTTGCTGGCTCTTCAACTGCAATTTATGTGAAGTATGTATTGGAGCACTACTGATCTAAAGGACTTATGTTTATGGTAGCATTACTTCAGTAAGCTAGTGGCTTACTCTACTTTGCTACAGGATTACAGTAAGGTTTTTTAAACATGCACTCTTTATATCTATCTGACTAAGCAGATTTCATAAAAATAAAACAAGAAGCAAAAACTAGAATGGATTAGAAAGTGACTGTAGCTGAAGAAAACAAAAGCAGAATGATGGCACTTGTTTGCTATCATGTTGAACACTATCTAACTGCAGTGCTCCTTTCTACTAGAGGTTAGCTCAGCCCATCTGATCTGCAGCTGAATTGTTTTCAGGGTTCAGGAGATGTGGACAAAGAGTGTATATGAGTCCTATCCCTATCTTTATTCTGTACTATATGAGTGATAGGGGCTTTCCTCCAAACTACGCTTTCTTGGATAGTTCTATAATCCATCAACATGGAACAATCAAACGGTACTTGCCAGCATTGACATGTTGCGTATAGTTTTGCTTCTATTTAAGTTAGTTTCTAAGTTTCTGTTTTCCCCTGGCAACAGGCCCAAGACTTTGGTAACTGGATACAAGCCTTCACATATCTTTAATTAACAGCTCTTTCTCCTTTTAACTTTTCCTTCTTTTCTATATTCCCACTCCTACAATTTTCTTAATCTTCTTCTTTTATCACATCCCTTCAATATCAATTGGTTGTAATATCTTCCATTCTTCTTTTTTTTTTTTCATGCCCTGGGTTTCTAGTCCAAACCATATATCTTCTACCACCAGAAAAAGGTTTATCAAAATACTACTATCTGTGTATTTGTGCAATTGTCATAATTCGCTATGTCTTTTTTGCCATCAGATCTGGAGTCTGATCAGAATATTTTGACTCGTGTCACACAGTTGACCAAACGTCTTATATCTCAGACAAATTATACATGGCTTTTAACCAATCTGGATAAACAAATGTTCTGAGGAAAAAAAAGATATCTTTTTAATTTAACTTCTTTCTTGACCTTCTAGAATCTCAGACAACTGGATGCGTAACTATTCTCCACCTTACTAAAGACAAATCTCTCTCTTTTTTCATATATATTTGCGCACACACAATCATTTATTTGTAGCTAAATAAGGTCATAAAAAATCTAGGATGTTTTAACTATTTCATTGACTTTTCAGATTGTTTTTAAGCTGTTTTTTAAACTTTAAAGGCAACACTGATAGTGAACGGTTCCAAATGGTAAAACAGAAAATCCCCTTCAAATATAACCGGCCCGTAGAGGAGTGGCTGCAGGAAAAAGGTAACAGTCATTAAAACTTTCATTTTAAACCCATTTGATTCTAAACCCTCATTTTTAAAGCCTGCAAATAAATGTTTCTTAAATGATAATCGCCTGCTGCATAAATGACTGTTTTAATTTTCATTATAATTTGTGTCAGCTTCCACCTGCCATATGTTGATAAATCATGCTATAATACATTGCTATTAAAATGCAGTTAAAGGGACGAAATTCTAAGCTTGCTGTCATAGTCATGACAAACAAACAAGCAAAAATTCAGGAGCCATTAAAAAAAAAAAAAGAAGAAAGACAAGAGCAAAAACATGTATTATGGCAATATAACCACTGCATGATCTTCCTATTTTGATTTATTTTAAAAATACATTTATATCTTTATTATCAAAGGTATTTCTTTTTTCAATTTTTTTCAAACCTGCTTATTAAACCACTTCCTGTAAGTTTCTTTTTTCTCATTACTGTGATTAGCCATTATGGCTATATGTTTCCTGATCATGTTAACATAATTAAACAATTTTAAAAAATGTTGTAAGGAAAACATTTTTTAACATTTTCATTTAAACTACAGTAGAGGAGACAGAGAAAGATGATTGTTCTGACACTTTTATTATATCCTGAGTAAAATTTTGACACTAAAATTATATCTTTTTCTAAGTTAGGGGTCATCTTATTCCCTAACTTAATCTCAGGCAGCACTATTAATTTTTGTGGGCTTGCCTGGAGTAATTGGCCTCAGTTCAGGAAAACTCTTAGAAACATGCATAAATCCAGTTGGCTTGAGTGAGAATCCTGCATACACTTCAGTGATCTGCTGAAATGGGACCTGTGTCAGAAGAGAACTGTTCCTGTATCAAGAAACTGGAAAAAAAAATAGTCTTGGATGTAAAGCCTATGCCAAAGCCTGTTGAAAGCAGCGGAATAACTCACACTGATTTCAGCAGGCTTTGGATCAGGCTTTTGGTGATATAGTGAAGAGTATGACAGAAAGATCTCCTCCCTCTAGCCTAAATGTAATATTTAAAAGAAACCTCTGTAAAAGATTCCTTGCCTTGAAGTTTAGGAAAAGCAGAACACAGTCTTCTCTGGTTTCCTTTAAAGAAAGTACTGCTGATAAAAGGGGGTGACCACTGAACTCACATCTTGCATTTTCTGTGTTGACATAGTGTTACTAGATACTCCAAGAAGGAAAATCAGCCTGCTGTAAGATGGGAAAAATACCATTTAGATTCTGTTTCAAATTTCCTATCCTCAGCTGCATTAGCAAATTGATTGAGCCAGCATGAATTATGTTATGGCTTAGAAGAATGTGGCTAGCTGCAGTCAAAACATTTTAAAATGAAGGGTCTGATCCTGCAGTGCACTGTATGCACTGACTTAAGTGAGAGTTGACAGCATTGCCCACTTTATGGTTTTGGTCTATAATTGTGTAGTGTTCATAACTAAAGCAAAAATATTTGTGAAAATAAGACAAAACAGTTGTGTAACTAAAGCAGAAATACTTTTTGACCACCATGGTTTTATAGAATATTTCATTTCAGCTAACTGGTAAACAGATATTAAGACAGAGGCATACAGAAAATGCTTACTGAGTCTCAGTGGGTTGTCCTATTAATTTGCAAGAGCCGACTAAAATAAATAAATAAAACCTAACACTAAAAAGTGGATAATTTTGGTAAGTTTGAATTGTTAAAGTCCCTTTAACACTAAAGACGATGATTGCCTCACTTTTGTTAAAATAGATGCATGTCTAATTCCTTGATGCAACTCATGTGCTTGAGAAACCCACCTTTGTTTTGTCTTTCGGGGTTTTTATTTCCTTTTTCGTTTTTCACTGAATCTTTTATTTTATGTCACTGCTTCTCCAAGTTTGAGCTTATAAGCATGCCAAAACACTTTCATTTGTAAGCCATCCTGAAGTTTTGAACTGAAGTTTGCCTTTTGTGGATACTGATGCTTTGTTAAAAGACAATCACACATGTAGCGGGGTCTAAACCAGACAGTATTTGACAGCTCAGGCACTCTCAAAGCACTGGGTGCTTTTAGACTAGAAGGATATGGTCATATTTTTACTAAGTGAAAGGAAACTTAGTCTTCAGTTTGTTTTAGGAAATGACATCATGCAGTGCAATGCCTGAGATGATATAGCTTTGTTCCTTAACTCCAAAATAGTTAGACCTTTTCAGCAGCTTTGATACCGCTCAAAGAAAGAAAACACCTAGGCCATTCACCTACCCGCTCATCCATCTGGTCATCCATCCAACACCTAACGTATCATGGAAACCTTCTGTCAGAAGCCCTTGTAAAGACGATGAGTGAAAGGGTAGCTCACTATCAAAATGGAACAAGATGAACTGATGGATGGAGGAATGGACAGATCCATCAGAAAGACAGCATATAGAATAGCTGTCTTCCTCATATGAGTTCTCGATTTGAGTGAGGTAAGGTTAAATGCTTTCAGATTGACAGTCTCCAGTGCCATAGATTTG